ATATCGATATTTTAAAAAATATCAATATCGGCTTCGATATATCGCGAAAAAAACATCGATATATCGGACCAATTTTCCCAAAAATATCGTACAGTAGCTCACGAAATATGACACGCGGAATAATAATGGAACGAAAATTATCTCCCTAAAAATAGACCCTATTTTCGAATGTTGACATAGACAATACTAAATACAGCACAGATCATAGATATGTTGAATATCATTAATCTGAGATCCAGTTTAAATTTTTTCCAGATACGAATTTAGTTAGATCGTGATATGCCGCTAATAATTAAAAAAATATCGTTTTTGATACGAATTTCGATATTGGTTATTTTGTATCGATGTATCGATATATCGAATCAAAATATATCGGCAAAAAATATCGATACATCGAACAAAAAATATCGATATATCGATACATCGATATATTTTCAACAAGCCTACGTGTAAAAGAACATGCAATCATGTGTGATTAGATAATGTATTTGCAAATTTCTGAAATGTTCCTAACAACTTTTGTATACAACCTGCGTATTTTAAAAATACTATGGAAAATATCTTGTTAAATATCGTTTTGTTTCACTAATATATTTTTATTATTTAAATGAAATCTATGGAGGATTCCATCTGTGGTTTGTTCAACGGCTTGGTTAATGGTTTTATGATGAAGATGATATGATTTTGTATTGGCACCGTAACAATATAATATTTTGTGAATATTGTTACATAATTATTTAAAGCTGTGAAGTTTATTTCGCCAGTTTTTCTCCACAGCTAAAAAAAGTCCTTTTCTGGTGGTAGGGAAAAAAATATTCACGATTCAACTATATATACGACTAGCGGTCCGCCCTCGCTTCGCTTCGGTGTAGAGCTGAAGTGTAGACTACAGTTTTTGTTCTCAGGCTTGTATTATACCTGCATGCAGTCTCAGCCCGATCGGTTTAAAATTGACAAAGTTTCATACAAACTTTCATTCCCTATTTTATCCAGTGTGTTTAGTCCAGTGGTTTGGGCTGTGCGTTGATAGATCACTATGTCAGTCAGTCAGTCACCTTTGAGTTTTATATATATAGATATTTTGACTTTGACTTTAAAATTTTACTTCTGAAGCTTCCCCAATAGGTCACTTACACAAAAATTTCTTCAACACAAACAGATCAACGGATTTCACACTTACGTAATTGTAATACAGTCATTATTTCAAAGGTGATAAAGTCATCACTGACGGCACATTGTCAGCGGTCATTAGACCATTTCAGTCAGCAGCCGCTATTGTTGAGTTGCCCCATCACTCATAAGATATCTGCTAAAGAGACGCTAATAGAGCGTAATGGACGAAGTAAGAGATATTACTCAAGATTAATATACGGATCCTTTGCTAGATTGTGCAGTAGCGGACGCGTTGTGTATGCCATTATGAATGTTAAGCGACTTTCGCAATGGTCAGTTTCAGGGGAGGTGACCGTTTTTATATTACTAAGACTTCACTGTCCGTCTATCTGTCACCAGGCTGTATCTCATGAACCGTGATAGCTAGACAGTTGAAAGGACATTGGGCAAAAATGTATGGACGCTGCACCCACGTCCGCCACGGAGATGATGATTCTTGATTCTTGTTCATCCATACTAATTGACAAAACCGATAATCGTGTTTCAACATCCAAAGCGTGTTGATAAAAATCAATCAAGTAGCAGTAGCAGAAGTAAGACGAGTCGACTATTTGCAACTGCAAGTCCTAAACCGTTTTGAAATGTCTCAGTAAGAGCAAGTGCAGGATGGTCGGCAGGCTTTGTCGTATATCTGGTTGTATAGTACGATATAGCATATTATTATGATTACTAATCATATAAAATGAAGGTACTATAAAATGAATTTATTTAGCTACTTAAATATGCCCATGTGTCATATCTATTGAGTACCAGGATATTTTTTACAGTGTCATATCTTTTGACTCCCAGGATATTTATTTTCGGTGTCATAATAAAAAAGGCTAGTTTTTCATAGATCTATCGATTCATACTAATTACATTGTTGGCGGAGCTGGGTGCGTTTTGCCCATTGTCCTTTGCACATATGATGTATTTCCGTTGCCGCTATAACAACAAATACTTATACTTTATACTTAGTTTATCCCATACAATAGACGTAATTTCTTCGCTGTTTTTGCTCCATATTATGGTTAAGTCGCTAATGTTGTATAGATAATGGTACTGAACCCTTCGTGCGCGAGTCAGACACGCCCTTAAATAGTTTTTTTTTCTCACGCAGGTGACGTGCTTATGTAAACAGCCATGTTTTTGAGTGTCGCAGTATTTTTTGTGATAATGATGATGACCTTTACAGCGGCACCGGGTTTGATTAACCAAGTCATTGGTCCCGGCTGCACTTTCAGTCGTTGACGGGAGCTAGCAGCTGCATGCTGGCGGGCTTGGTGAATTACAATATTACCTGTTTTCTTTTGCTTGTTCTGTCCTAGCTTCATGTTCAGGTAAGGCTCCAGCAGTACCGAATATAGGGTCATATTCATTGTCATTGAGCAGATAGACGACGCGAAAAATTTCTTGCGGCCGCCGCGCGGCGACAGCTCGGTGTCCGCGCAATAACTGTTCAGGCATAGCAGATTTTTGGTTTATTCACTAAGGCTTAATGTTGAAATTCTTTGTGAGTAACTAACTGCGCGGCGACCGCGCGGCTGCCACGCGGCCTCCTCGCTCAAATCACTCAAATGTTTTAACATCAAATGTTTTGTGTGATGTGAATCAAATGTTTTAACATCGATTCGAAAATAATCTGCGATTTGTTTTCCATATTCTCGCAGTTGGTTGTGTAGCTTATGAAAATCATCAAACTCTTCTCGCCATGCTAAAATAGGATGAAGCCAAAATCTTCTACTTTTGTTTTTTCTTCTTTTTTGCTTTGTCGGTACAAGTAATATGCAATCATAATTTTCTTCTTCTTAGTTAAATAGCCCATAATTATAGAATTTTAAGAAAGACCAAGATCAACTGCAAATGAATCGAGTTAGCAGTGGTGACCGCGCGGCCGCCACGCTGTGACATTCTGTGTCATATAAACGCGCCCTTACCCCAGACCACATACGGAAAAGGAACAAATAAACAAAATAGCATCTACTATTTCACACTTACTGTAGTTACGAGATGATATTACGTAACATTATATTCACTAATAAAGCGATGATATGTTTTCTTTGCATTCTCATTGTACTTACGTTGCAGCATACACTATGCATGATGATGATACCGTGTCAATTATAACAATCAATGTTGCAATATGTCGATTGGCATGAAACAGGCCTATTGTTGCTTGACATGCATCTGTCGAATTAGTCATCACATTATTGTTTGTATGGAGCCGTTTAGCAATGCGGTGATGTTACTGTAGACATATTAGCGTTGATGTCAGTCGGACTTGGAGTATGCGATTGGTAATGGCGACTTCACTTTTTTTCGGATGTTGTGAAATAAGCTTTTTAACGAGGCATCGGTTTGAGATTCTTCGATTAGCGAGTTGGGCCTGTGAAGTTTCGTATATGGTTCGTAAATGGATCGACTTGAATACTGATTAGATACCTATGCCGGATTCTTTCTAGCCTTTCTTAATAATTTTCTTTCTGTATATAATACAGGGAGAAAAAACAGCCCTTGCTGAGTTTCTTGCCGGTTCTTCTCAGTACAAGGTCTCCCGCCGTAGATTTGCGAACCGATGGCGTAGCTTTTCGACATTCACAAGTGCTTGTAACAACCTAGACTGAATAAACGATATTGAATTTTTTGAATTTTTTGAATTTTAAGCTGCAAGACAGCGCCAGCTCTTCACCAGGTATTCATTTGACATTGTGGGTTACCTACACTGCGAAGAGATGGCGCTGTCTTGCAGCTTAAGAAAGGCTAGAAGGCATTCGACGCGGCCATCAGGGCCGCGGTAGCATAATGGTCAGTGCATTCGCCCGGATAGCGAAGGGTGCGGGTTCGAGTCCCGTCTGCTGCCTGCTCCACGCGGATTTTTTTCTAGTAATATTTTCTTTCTTTAAACTTAATATTTTATTACAAAAGCGTTATAAGGCGAGCATTGTTTCTTTATTCTACCTTCTTGTCAATATGGCAGGATTCCACGAGGAAATTAGGATAAGAAATTAACGGACCATTATATTGATGCCTATAGTAGGGGACCACAAGCGGCGACATTAGGGACATTGCACCTTGTAAAGTCCTGAGCCGTCCATGTAGGACCGAACGTCTAGGGCACCAAAACAAAAAAAAATCTACAAAAGGCCATGACTTTTGGTCCAATACCCACTAACAATACAGCTCAATCGCTCATTTGTCGGCTAGGAGGGCAGAAGCTATAATGATCTAATAATACTGAAATCATTCTACCGCTTTATGCGGAGGGAGGAATATACACACAAATGCAGTCCAACAAAAAACGAACGAACTTTCGCAAAAACTAAATCATATTTACGACACTCACACATCAAATATGACAGCGCTAAATCGGGCATAGATGAAACTGAAGATATTTTATTGACAAAGCTGGTATATGTACTGACGAGTCGATTGTATTATCTAAAAGAGTCCGGCAATGAGGGCTACCGTTTTCTGCCTCACCAGATGGCGCCACTGTTGAGTGAGGTCCTAAATTGTAACTTTTAAAGTTTATTAATACGCACATGAAATCAAAGGTTACATTTTGATCGTATTTTGACACAAAAGAACCATATCCTAAACATAATAGGCCATGCCACAGTGACGCGCAGTTCCGTTTTATTCGGAAAAAATGGCAACATAATCATTTTTCTAAGCTCAAATTTTTAATAACTGACATTCATTGCCACATAACTCATATTTGCCATAATTAAACCGAATTATTACCAATTATTCACAACATTATTTTAATCTATACTTATAATAAATCTGTAGAGATGTCTTTTCTGTACATGAAATATATTTTTAAAATAACTATCAGGGGGTGATTAGTGATCGATACTGATGCCAAAAATGCAATCAGTAAAATTTTTGTCTGTCTGTCTGTCCGTCTGTCTGTGTGTATGTTCCTTATAGAAACAAAAACTACTCAACGGATTTTAACGAAACTTGGTACAATTATTCTTCATACTCCTGGGCAGGTAATAGTATACTTTTCATCACGCTACAATCAATAGCAGCAGAGTAGTGAAGGGAAATGTTAGGAAAACGGGAGAAGTTACTCCATTTTTAAGCTTCCATCGCGGGTGCAGCCTTAATGGTTAAAATTACATAGGAATCATGTATGACGGAAATATTCTACATAAAATTGTCTAAAAAATATCCCGCAACAGCATATGTCTATCTTTTATGGTTGACTCACAATAACACGTGTAATTATATAAATAAAGTCATTCTTTATAGCACAAGCCTGAGAACAAAAACTATAGTTTACACTACAGCTCTACACCGAAGCGAAGCGAGGGCGGGCTACTAGTTAGAAATAAACCCACGTAGTCAATCAACAAGCAATAACATTTGACATTTCGGAGACCTCACGCTACACTAGCGCCTCTAGCGGCGGATTCGTACGCGATAGCCCTCATTGAATTTTAACAAAATAAATACTGTTATTCCAATACCCACTAACAATATAGCTCAATCGCTCATTTGTCATTCATTATCTACAAAAAAAAATTGAACAGAACAACATATAAACAGTTATTTCCATTGTTATCCATCTCATATCCGCTTCTCACCTCATCATCAACCACGCCCGTAACCCCCGTAACGATCGTTAATAACAACACATGATTCGCCTCGTAAGTGCTAGGTAATTTGCTTGTTTTATAACCTCGATTTGTTCTGTTGTTGATCGGTTGAAGCCATTACCGGCTCCAGTGACAGGTAAAGGGCTGAAATGTCAGAATCGTGCGCTCGCGCAGGGCCGGACGAAATTGACGCGACTGCGCCTTCCCTCGTGATTTATTGTACCCTTTGCATTAAAAAGGATTTTTTTTTTAATACGTTAAACCATCGTGACTTGACATTAATTCCATCTGACATGTTAAATCGAAACAGTATTTTTAAAACTTCAAACCAAAATAATGAAGCTTTGTAGTATTTTGACTGCTGTTTAAAAAAGGGTAGTCAAATACCCGTTACGTTTCAATAAATGTAACTTAATACCCTCATCCAATAGATGTTACTGTTGAACCTGTTACATAAATGCTCGGGTTCACATAATTTTTTTATTTTATTTTATTTTAGGAACATAGAACAGTTATACAATAAATTTTACATAAAATTATAATGTAGATATTAATTAGGTAAGTGTCACCACACCAATGTCCACAAATTAATGATGAAAGGAGAAGTTTATTATCTTCTCACTACGGAATAATAAACTAAAAAACCGCGATGAACCGGTACAGATACAAGTATGATACCAAATTCCATCAACCCGTTCTATTTGATAATGTTTCTACTGCCATTTTTTTAAACTTTAATTTTAAGAACCCAAATATGTCTAATTCTGCAAAGTTTGTGTTATAATTATCTAGTAGTCGACGAAGGGGCGCACGCACTCCAGCATTCGTTCTACAGGTCCCAGTATAAAACAGCCGAGGCGCGCGCACCCCTCTGCGGAATACCGATCTAGGTACAACATAACACAAAAAAAATTGTAAGGTTATTACAATCGAACCTGTTATTACAAATGCCATGCACCATCATGGCCATGAGTAGGTATCCAGACGTTACGACTCCAAGCTCAAAAGTCCGTAATGAGTCAACAATTCCGCATAAGAAATTCTACAATGATGTAACTTGTAATGTATCCTACGTAAAAACTTCTTTTGAACCTTTTCAAGTCTGTCCACAATTGTATCGTAAAGCGGACACCAAATTGGAACTGAATAATATATCGAATAAAACATTTTCTTCTCTATAGCCACATCCTTTAAAGCCACGAACCAATAAATTGTTTGTACTGTAGCGCTATTTCACTAGCCACAATACTGATTAAATCCACTATCAGTCTGCGGCCACTCTGGCCTCGGGTACTGTTTCCTCAATTACCTTCGTATGATATAGATCGAGAAAGCTCTTATTTGCACAACGGAATTATGCAATATCACAGGAAAATAGTTAGCCACGATGCAATCACAATTCAACAACAGCATTTTAACTAGCAATTTCTCATATTTGTTAGATATACCTAATACGTTATTAGGTAACTACGTACGGGTTTCTTAATCCCTGGAAACCACTACCTCAGTTGAGGGCTGGAGAAGGTCAGACTGCCACGACGAGTTCCGGAACGTGGCCGTTGTAGCTGGGACCAAGAGGCAACACCTAACAAGGGAGTGCCAATCCGGTGCATTCACTGGCTCCAACCTCCAACCTACCTCTTTGTAAAACTTATTTTCTTTTAGTATATTGTAAAGAAATCTTAATTTGTCAACAGTGAATAATGTGTGTATAAAATCATTATCGAAGCCTGCTTAAATTACATTCAAGTTTAAATATGCCCGCGTGAAGGAGCTGGGATGGCAGGACTGATTCCAATCCCCACGCAAAATAGGCACTGGGTGTCGAGTTGCGGAAACAGCCCGCCGTACTACTAAGAATGCGTGAAGCGCTAGGCTGTATGCAATGTATGTTCTGGAGCGATTACTATTACAAGTACCTGCTTACTGTGCTACCGCAGTTATGTTATTTACGCAATTATTTATAACATACCAAACAAATTCCTGCGATTAATGGTTTGTTTTGAATTAAATTGGCTTATTTTTTATTAACTTCTCAATCAAAATATTAGGGGATAATAATATTTGAAACAGATACTGGCTTATTCCCAAGAAATTGTTTTTTAACGTATAATCCTTATAAAGGCAGAAATATACTAATGTGTCTATAGTGTTGTGATGCCTCACAGAGCTATAGGGTTCATGCAGTTAGTACGTAGAGCAACACAGCCGACGCGGCTAGGAGGGGAGTAGCCATAATGATATAATAATACTGAAATCATTCTGACGCTTTTTGCAGGGAGAGGAATATGTACACAAATGCAGTCCAACATACTTCGTAAAAACGAATTGGTGATTACGACACTCACACATAAAAAATGTCGGCGCTAAATCGGGCAGAGATGAAACTAAAGATTTTTTATTGACAAATCTGATATTTGTACTGGCTAGTCGATTGTTTTGTCAAACAAGTCGACGATTGAATTTTGTGTTTAAAAGTGGTAAAATAAAAATAATATGTTAATAATTCTACTTATATGTGGAAGTTAACACCATCCTTTTGTAAGTTTAGATGTGTTCAGATGTGTTTTACAGCAAATTACATAAATTATGGAATTTTCGATCTCTAATACTTGCGCGACTTGACTCAGTCTAGTGAAATATCCGACACGCAACTAGTTTTGTTTTTGAGCTGGCCCAAGACCGAGGGAATATCGACAGAGGGAAAATCGACGATGCTGTGAATTTTGTGAACTACCCTCCTGGCCGCGTTGCTCTGAGTTGGTACTATAAGTATAGTACTATCTATGAATTAGTACTCATAGAGTAACACAAGTGTGTGTCGCGATGTGTCGACAGCATTCTCAATCTAACCGTACTAAATGTATGAAACCGATAGCTCTCTGACGCGTCACAATACAACACGACAGATAAATGCAGTACTGCCACAAGTATAAAAATATTCTTTACTCTTTTTGTTTAATGAAGAGAGTCAATTAGAACTTGTGCTCTATGGAAACGTCAAATCGCATTACGTCAGATGAAAAAACTGTATCGTTAACTGAGAACACAGAATTTTAATAAAATTGTCATCATTAGCGGCAAGTTGGAACGAAAAGTGCTTTGCTATTATACAATACAGATATGAAACAAAACAAGAAGTTGCTACTTTGTCGTTACATATTCGAAAAAGTTATGGCATTCGGCCTCATATTTCTATTGACACCTGGTTACTACATATTTCACATGACCATCGTACGTCCTTATCTCATCAAAATCTTCAAGATGGGAACGGCAATGCATGTGTTCCACGTGTTCCTATCATTGTTCATTTTTATCAACGTCTGCGGAAATATGTTCTTGGCTTTATTAACAGATAACAGAGTGCCCAGAATGTCACTATGTCAAAATGAGAAGTTTGGCCGGTACTGCGTGTGTTGCAAACTGGAGCAGCCTCGCAAAAGTTTCCATTGCGAAACCTGCGGTGTTTGCATTCTCCGAAGGGACCACCACTGCTTCTTCTTCTCTCGCTGCATCGGGCTTAACAACCAGAGGTACTACATCATGTATCTCACCTACATCTCTATAGGCTTGATCTATTCAACATACTATGACTATTTCTTCGTTTCATCCATGTATGACTCTTACGACTTCATAATTGCACTGCTGCGGGTGTTCAATCCCTTGGTCAGTTTTATTTCTACTGAGCCAGTTGGAATTAGAGATCTCTACGTTTTATTCTTCGATTTAAACGTAATATTCATTTTTTGGGCAACGACTGTGCTCTGGTTCCATGTTAAAAATATGATGATGGGCATAACTGCGTACGAGCATAAGAAGATAATAAGATCGGACATGACGAAATGGAATGAGAACTTATTGAATGTGTTCGGTAAGAGATGGTATTGGGCGGTTCTGTGGCCATTTGTGGAAAGTCCGTTGCCTCGAAGTAATAATTTCAGTCGTATAGATTAATGTAAGAAGATACAGCAACGACAGATTTGTAATAAATCGTGTCGACTTCGTTCGTTATTTTCTATTTATATACATATTATATAGTATTTAAAAATATCGTTTGATTCTTTTTAGGTTTTTAAGTTGACACAGACAATCAGCTGAAATCAACAATGAATTAATGACACAGAAAGAGATATGAGAAAATCACCATGACACAGTTAATATAATTATTTATACTGTAGTACTTTAAGAGTATTTAATGGTTCAAATCAGTGGTACAAAGTTATAGAGAAAGTACTTTATAGACATGTAACTACATATAAAGATATTACAATGACATTAATTACATCATGATGAGACAGCTTTCCTTTACAATATCAAAAACGTTTATTCGAATAATTAGTTGCCCAATGACTGTGTCGTAATCCAAAGAACCGGTACAACCTGCGCCAGGTATCAATGCTTCGCGTTAATTATTCAAATTGGAACCTCTTATTCGGAGTTAACACTTTATTGATTAATAGTTCTTATTGCGTAACCATCATCAAAATCAATAAGGTGTACTAACTAACTATACAGATCGTTTTTACTTTCATTAATCATTTCTTTGTTTACAACATCGGATATCATTAGTTTCGCATGTCGATCGAGATAGACATTTTTTTGAAAACAAAGGGGAAATTGATTGTTTAGAAACTGCTCTCGTAGTTGAACAAGCATGCGCTTTTGTGAGTGATTAGTTTAAATATTTCTTAATCAGATTTCAACAATTTATTATTACTATTAGGATTTCATAATGGCGAGAAGATTAGCAATATCAAGATTAAATTTTGTGAAAATTATTGTTTTGTTATTTGCATTTTTGTACTAAAGTAAATCTTGCAATTGCGATACCCTACACTACAGGGTCCATAATGCACTTTTGTCTATATGTTACCACCTTTGTATCTCCATTATGGTCTGCAATAAATGAATTGAATTGAATTGAATTGAAAGTGTTATGTTTTAAATAGGGGTGATAACGGGGTACAGTAAACGAAATTCTGTGTAGTCCATCATTAGATGATCAAAAAATAATGAACACGTATTTGTTTCTTTGGGCAATCAACCAAAACATGACAAAGTTATAGCGCATCAAAGTTTGCGAGTAGGGGCTCGTGACGTCACTTTTAAGTGAAAATTGTACGAAAACGTGACGTCATGCGACTTTTCAAATCAATATATCTCTGCAATGTTTATATTATGTGAAAAAAGAAAAAATACGTGTCCAATACTTTTTGATAATCTACCTGATAAACGAAGAAAAAAAATTGTCATTATCCCTATTATGAGGAACTCACTCGTCGGTTTAGGTTTTGAATCAGTTGAACCGTCTACAACTATAAATAGCCTCAGCTATTCTGCACGTAACACTTAAATTATGCTAGCGTAACATTACCACAACACTAGAAACTACCACTTTCTACTATTACCTTAAGCCTAGTTACTGGAAAAATCTTAGCTACTTCTACGGAAACAAAAATAATTCTTACAAAATCCTTATAAGCAGACCATAACGCACTTCTTTAAAAGACCTAACCTCAACGTCACGCAACTGTGCAATTCAGGTAGAATCTCAGGGTTGTACCAGAAAAACTTATAATAATAAATAAATAAATATTTCCAACACTCACACCAATTAGCCTAGCCCCAAAGTAAGCACTGTAAAGGCTTGTCTTATGGGATACTAGGGTAACGGATAGAATACATATATTGTACATATATAAGTATATTTATATGAAATACATATTAAACATCCATGACTGGAGTACAAATGCTCGTATTCATCACACAAACATCTGCCCCCACCGGGATTCGAACCCGGGACCTCTCGAGTCGGCGACGCCATGAAACCCGGCGTATAAACCACTCGGCCACGGAGGTCGTCAAAGACACTGTTTTAAAACATATTTTAGAGAATGTTGTACCTACGACATTTTCGTCTTAATCTTATGTTGAACGCCTGGCTAACTTGTTTGTGTAAGACCAATGTCTATTCGATAGAAAATTCCTTCGAGAGTCGATGGTGTGTTTCCAGGAAGCCATTAAGCCATAACACGTGCGACACGTAATTGTTACGCAAGCAACAACACATCGCATGCAAATGTTACTCACAGGATATACTTGCCTGTGGGTTCGACAACATGTTTTTGAAGTTATACTTCTTTAGGCGCGTTATGAAAAAATCATGTGAGTGAAATTTTTAGATGCGCGCGCATCACTGTAACCCAAAAGTAACACCATGAAGTTGGCCGCGGGCGCGTTATGAATGTTAGTGTCTAATAATGGTGGATTATTAACCACTAAGTGGTTAATAATCCACCATTATTAGACATCTGTTCCAAAGGTACTTTGAACGATCCACGGAGCTCCATAAGATGATCGCGTTGTCAAAAACAATGTTGGCACGCTCGTCGCCTCTGATCACTGTTTTCATATTTATAATATTTATCCACATGTTTCTAGTTTCTATATAGACACAACGTGTTTTAGTTACTTACAAGTGCTAATTACATATGGACTAATAACTTAAATTCAGTACTGAGTTTAATTGAATATTTTGAATATTTATTTAATTTTTCAAATTAAAACTGAACTTAATTGACTGTGTTAACTATCCTATTCCAGTCCTTTTATTATTTTATTGTAATTATTAATTATTTGCATGCAATTAAAAAATATTTTTAATGATGTTAAAGAAGTATAAGTTCTCACGCGCGTACATAAGTTACACGCATCCATTTTTTTTCATAAAAGTGTCAGCAAATGGATCCACGCCATTAAACTAAGTGCAAGTAAAAATGAAATCTAATTTGACCTTTATTATATCAGGACTCCGTACGTAAGATTTATATACCTTACATTAGGAAAGATGAACAAACATGTACTAAGAGACCCATACTAGGTGGATTTTGATTATACTTTTTTTGAGATATTAGAATTTATTTATTGGATCCACATCCAATTGAACCTTAAACGGTTAAAACTTATTGATGTAGGAAAATTTGACAGTTTTCTGGTATAGATATTTACTGGAATAAATTCGACTCCTGCAGGGTCTACGGCAGGACTCGCTTATTAAAATTTGCATAGCAAAATAGTTCTCCATTTTATTTCTAAACGACCAACCTTTGATTATTTACTCCTAGATAGTGCGTGGCAACGCAGATGACGTTGAAAATAAAAAAGGTAAATTTAAAAAATCAAAAAACCCGACTGCTTAATTATACTTCAAATAAAAACTGAAAAGAAAAAAACAAGTCCAGTAGTCTATAATTCTGTTAATAAGGAACAAAGCTACTTTAACAGTCGGGACCCATTAGATATTCAAGAATACATAATATTTTTCAACAGTGGGTCCCGACTGTTAAAGTAGCTTTGTTCCTTATTAACAGAATTATAGACTACTGGACTTGTTTTTTTCTTTTCAGTTTTTATTTGAAGTATAATTAAGCAGTCGGGTTTTTTGATTTTTTAAATTTACCTTTTTTATTTCACACTTTTTAGTTAGTTAGTATTTTAAGACGGTATATACCGTAGTCTTGTTACTTCAGTAAGGGAATTAATATCGCGGGAATTATTAAGTACCTTAAGACAGTCTAAAAATGAATCTAATGATACCGCATACATATTTTTTTAAAGGGAAATTTAGAAAAAATATTATTATGTCTTTATCCCGTGGGACTTTTAGGATAAAATGTATCCTATGACACTCCCGTAATCAAGACAAATCTAACGATACCTCATACATCAAAATCCATCAAGCCGTTTAGGCTACAGGAGGTCACAAAGGAACAGACATACATACATACTTACATACACTCCCTCAACATTACCCTCCCTCTTTGGCAGTCGGGTAAAAATATGAGCCAAATGCGGAACTCTTAAGTCGTTTCCCGTCACTTATTGTTCAATGTAATGGCTGTTATTTTTGTTAAACTAAATAAAAATTTGTAACATTTTTTTTTTTATTTCAAATATCCAAGATTATAAAACGTATAAATTTCCGTTTTACAGATGTTTCAACGACAATGATTTTTAAAAGTGTGAACAATATACTTATTTTGATTTTATTAAGTTTACCCACTTTTTTGGGGAATGTGGCCTAACCTGCTGGTATCTTACGCATGCGCGAGACAAAAATAATGACATTTCGCTGCCATTTCGCGAGTGAAAGATACAAGATTCGCGTTATAAAACCAAGTCTGTTTTTATCGCAATGTTTACAAGGTGACACTCTATCTAGAGAGTATATAATCGAAGCTGACAACATCAACTCTAATAAAACTTTGAAAATTACTAACGCCTCTGAGTACTGATAATAGTGTATGGTAATGAGTACCACAGGATAGGGAAACGGGGTCATAGTATGCAATGCGTGAGCGACACTCCTGGTTTCGTAACCGTCCATCCGTAGGCTATGGCGGTCGTCGAAGAAATGGTCTTTGAATTTCATGGTGCTATTGTTACGCCACACTTCCTTAGCCGTCGGCTCCGTCACATTGTTCTGCCGATATCGCTGATTTATTTGTGGCACGTAGCATAACTGGCGACATGCGCGTGCGCAGCCACCGGACACCGTTACTTACGATACATATTAACGGAACTCTGGGCACTGTTCACAACAAATAGTCATCACAGACAATGACTTACAAGAACCTAAATGGAAGTGACGTTAAAAGGAGATTGGGCATTTTAGTATGGAGCTTGGGGACGAACTAAAGAGTTTTGTACATCAATGAAATAAGCTTAAAAATATTGCTTATATTTAATACTTTTAGGATATTTTTATTTCTTTTAAATCCGTACTCTTTGAGCAAAGTTATTGGACTTTAAAGAAATTTATCTACATAACCTCTTTTTACGATCCCCGCTACTATGCAACTACTGTAATCTTAATATTACCTTCATACAAACACATTATCACGCTCACAATCCTAAAAGGGGTTGAGCAGTGCTGCAGGTAACATTTGTTTACACATTTTATTATTTAATAGCTCAATTTACACGGCAATAGCGAGAAATCGACTGACTGACAGATCCGTGTTCTGACAGTGATCACAGTGACACTGACAGACACTGTTCGCATTGACAGAACAACGGTGATTTTTCCGAAACGTATTGCTGGAACCCCGAGTAGGTATGCATTCTTTTATTTTAGGATTTTTTATTTTAATCGTCTTTTGTAAATAAATCATAGTCACACGAATAATATTATTCTTTGTATATGTATTTTCGTATCTAGGACTAGTTCTAACAATGTTAATAACATTAATAGGTTAACATTGGACACCTAAGTTAACGTTTCGGAACGCGGGATCCGGATATCGCTTGGGGTGGCGAGACGACCGACCGACGTCCCGTATACCAACCGGCCACCAAGCACCGGGCGTGCTTATCACATAGGAAATCATTCTACATTTTAAAAATATCGCATATTTTTCTGAGAGTATAATAATTGCTGAAACTTCGTATTCAGTCATCAATAATTAGATAACGATTTTTGGCAGTATTTTCATTAGTGTACAATTGAGAGATAAAAATCCCTAAAATGCCCAATCTCCTTTAAAATCGTGTGCATAATAAGTGAAGCAAAATGAACTTGAAGAATAAATTGAAGGCATTGTCATTTTAGATTTAAACTATACTCACACAAAATGAAACATTAAATAAAACTTTGCTATCGATGTTGAATGCAAGCAATGTACACGTGTAAGTAAAAGACCGCTAACTACCTCAACAATGCTACTTGGAAAGCGGCAATTTTAAAGCCATGTAAGTATACCGATGATATTATTACAGAAACTGCTTGACTTAAAAGTGTCGATAAACTGCCAACAAAATAGTCAATTTGTGTCACTCTTTGTGACAGGATAGATTTCCGTTCT